AAGCTCTGAACAGTGCCATTATCCTGCCCTGGTGCCTAGGAACTAGGCTCCTTGCAATCCTCTCCGGGGATCTATCTGCTTCTTCTACCTGCATTCTCCAAAGCTGTCTTCTCATTTAATGGGATCAAAAGCTGAAGTCTTTACAATGGCCTGCAGTACCCTATTCCATCCGGCTGCCCCATCACTTTCTCTGTGTTACAACCACATTTCACTTTCTGTTGTTCCAGAGACACTACCACACAACCCCTTTGCAGGGTCTTTGCATTTGTTGTTTTCTTTGCCTGGAACATTTTCCTCCAAGTTCCCTGTGGCTTTCGATCCCCACTTAACCTTCAGTTCTTTACTCAAAAGTACTTTGTCAGTGAAAAGATTATCTGGCAAGCCTATCACAGCTTTTTGAACTGGCCATGATGGTGCATGCCTGTTAAAAACTGTGGTTCCGTTCTGGCCTGTTCCTGCTCTTTCCTTCATTTCTTCCACAGGGTTAAAGATCTGTTCACTGAACTCTGTAAGTTTTATTCATTTCTTTTATTGGTTGAGTGTTTCCTTCTCTGAGACGGCTGACCTGTGAGGGCAGGAATTTCCCTTGACATTGCCCTCAGCCACTGCTACAGAGTAGACCCTCAACAGTTTTTGTTTGGTTTATTATTATTATTTAGTTGCTTTCTTTTTACTTGTTCTTGTTTTGTTTGGGGGTTTTTTGTTTTTTTTTCTTATTTATCTATTTTTAGAGAAGCTTTTACTGTGTTGCCAAGGCTGGTCTAAGGCTCACAGTCTTCCTCCCTTCCTCCCAAATGCTGGGATTATCAGCATGTGCTCCAATACCTAACATTACACAGACACACAGACACACAGACACACACAAAATGAATGAACAGCATCCTTGATAAATATTCTCATAACTAGTCATGGTGGTGCACGCCTTTAATCCTAGCACTCAGGAGGTAGAGCCAGGCATATCTTTGTGAGCTCAAGGCCACACGGGTCTACGTAGCAAGTTCCAGGCCAGCTGGAGCTACAAAATGCTTGTCAGATAATCACTTGCTTTAGTATCAATTTTATCACTTTATCAGCCACTGTATTAATGATGTGAACTCTACTGGTTACATCCACATATACTCCTAGAACATTAAACACTTGCTTCAACAAATTTCCTGTCTTTGGCATTCTTTCTTGTTCGTTCTGTTTGCTAAACCTAATGAAACAGGCTTATCTTCTTCTAGGCTCATCAACTTCTAGGCCTTCAATATCATTAACTTTCCAAATCTGTTTATCCTTAGCCTCTCTTCCATTGCTAATTTGCATTCATAATTTCAACAATCTCCCATATGATTTTTTAACTGTGTCTATCAGTTATCTGTACTTCAAAATCAACATTTAGAAAACCAAATGTATTTGCACAACTTCTCACACTGATCTTGTAAAAAATATGCATATGCCCAAACTGTCCTTTCTCATTTGCATAGGTACATAATAATGTATATATATATTTTAACCTCAGCATATACTCATATGAAAAGGTAGAAATAATGGTTTTCTCGTGTCCCATAGAGTCCCATGTCTTATTGATTCTTACGTCCGGTGTTGTCAGAAATATAGATTCTTTCTTATTTATTTATTTTAGTGGTATTGTGGATTGGACCCAGGACTTTGTACATCCTAGGAAGAAGGACTCTACCACATAACCACATGCCCAGTCCTCACACAGATTGCTTCTTTCCCATGATCTCACATCTTATTTTCAAAGTTTGTGTGATCATAAGGTAAAATATCAATGCTGCATTAGAGGAATAAGAAATTGTTTATTCTCAGCTACACATGAGAGATAGTGACTTAGGAACCCAGATTCAAGACATCTTGAATAGCCTGCTCCAAATAGAAAGAGGTTATATAGCCAAAGACAGAGATATATCAATGCATTCAGCAAATACATCCTTGTGGGTACCAGGTAGGTGGCCACAGTAAAGAAAGAGGGTTTCAGATATTACCTTGTAACATTCTTAGCTCTAGGATTAGTGAAAGCTAATCTTTGAGATGACATTCTAAGAGATTTACCTACCAGCCACAGAAGTTTAGGTCAGGTGCAAAGATTAAAAGCAAATGCCTATTTTTGTGAAGGGCTAAGATAGCCCCAAATAATTTTGACTCTAGACATGCAACATTCTATCTCTCCATATCTGATGCTTGCAGGATCTTTAATAAGAATGCAGCTTCTACAAAGAACTTCAGGTTTACCACAGGCTAGTGCAAACCCCTCCCAACAGGTTTCTCTGCTTCCAGTCATTCTAATTCAGTCTTTATATTATTGCTGGCGTTGTGTTTCCAAACAGCTCCCCAGACTTCTAGGAAAATGCTCAAATTTCTTCAGGTCTTGATAGATTAACCTTCTCAACTATGGGAGAAAGGGATTTTGTAGGAAATACTTAATATTTTAATCCAATAATTTAACCTCCAGAGAATTGCATCTTGTGACAGACTGTTCCTATTTCGGTGCGCAAACCCTTGGAACAAGTCAGCCCACTGTGTATCAGTGTTATTAGTCCTTAGAGACTAAGAGGAGAGCCTAGATTCAGAAGTACAATGGAGACTTACCTGAAAAAGTAGTAAGTTCTCACAAGGAACAAACAGCATGAAACCAAAACAAATTGTAGTACATTCAATGACTGAAAGAACACAGATGCCACTTTTGAGGTATAGTAATCTGACTTTAGGGTCTCCAAGCTTCCTTTGGGTGGGGTATGAAATAAGAGTGTAGAAAATGTAATCATTATGGTGTCTCTGTGTTTTTAATTTCGTGTCTGTCTGGAATAGCAACACCAGTGATTAGCCCCTCACAGGGGATGGCTCTCCCACTTCTAGGATGCTAGCTTGTTTGCAATCTGCAATCAACATCTTTAAGGACATATTCTGAAGGTCAGAAAGATATCCAAGTAGTTGACTACACCCAGAGAGTGAACCAAGAAGCAGTTACACTTGTATATTATCTTACTGATCACTTTACAATTTGTTTGTTCAATAGGTTACTTAATTTGTTTCATGCAAGATGGTGAGGACTACAGAACAGATTATGCCAGTATTACACGTGAGGCAAGAAAGGTCCCCCAAAAGAAACGGCTTGCCCAGAATGATAAAACTACTTAATTTTAAAAAATTCATTTTTTTCTTCCTGCTACTGACATGAAGCACCTGTCAAGCCTGTATTCTAAAACTATGAATTATATGAATTAGAACTAGTCATAGTATCTTTAAAATATTTTATTATTTTTATGTGTATGAATGTATTGCCTGCGTGTAGGTAAATGCACCTGTGTAGTGCAGTGCTCTTGGAGGACAGAAGAGGCTGTTGGATCCCCTGGAACTGGAGTTACAGACAGTTGCTACCTGCCATGTGGGCGCTGGGATTCAAACCCAGATCTTCTGCAAGAACAACCAGTGCTCTTAACTGCTGCACCATCTCAGCGGTTAAATAAAAGGAATCTTTATCTTTTAATAAAAGGAATTGTGTCTTGCTCTGTTATCAGGGGCCCTCTGTAATTCAGCTTAATGCCTCATTTTTTTTTTAAACTAGCATTTTCTAATTGCACCCAGGAATGTGTCTAGACTTCCATTCCATCTTGAGCACCTGAGCTGATGATAGTGATAGTTGTGTCTTTATGGCACTGTATTTCTACCACTTGGGTCAAAAAGGTTCAACAAACATTTATCAAACTTAATATATATATAATTTGCAATAAGAAAAAATGTCTAATCTCTAAGCATGATTTCCTCTCAACATACTTCATCATTGCTTTACTCCTGCCTCTATTTTCTAGTTCCTGTAGACACCTAGTGTAAAGGGCTACGAAATTTGCTTTACTACTAACCTTGTCTCTTCAAAGCTGGCAGACATTCTGCAGACACTCTGATGCCCCAATGTACTTTTCTTAGAAATGTGAGAAATATTGAGAGCAAGGAGTTAACATTTCCAGAGGCCAAAACAATAAAACTCTCCATCCTGGTCAACAGATATTTGGGTGAGTAAATAAGAGACTGGAAATGTTAGGGAAAAAGTAGAAATAAATAATTTGCAAGTAACCAGAAGTAGACTTCTTTGGATAGACAGAATCTAGACTAATAATAAAAAGTTACTATACTCATTTATAATAGAATTCTAAGAAAGAACATTAAAATTGGGTTGTGTAGACAGGAAGATGGTGTGTCCAACTTTGTGCTTGCTGTTTCTAATTAAGTAAAATCTGGGCATAGGGGTGCCTGCCTTTAAACTCAGCACTCAGGAAACAGAGGCAGGCAGATCTCTGAGATTGAGACTAACATAGTCTACATAGTAAATTCCAGGCCAGCTGTGGCTAAAGGGAGACCATGTCTCAAAAGAAAAAAAAAAAAAAAAAGACAAAAAAAAACACTGCAAAATACAAATTCTTGTCAGAGGCCCAGGAAACGTTTTCCAAAATAGATATCACATTGGGACACAAAACAAATTGAAATAAGAAAAATGTGAAAATATCTTTTTTACTATCTGACCATATTGGAGTAAAGCTAGATATCATTAGTGGAAAAAAATACAGAAAGTAGACATACATACATCATATATATCTATATTAGGTTAAGTCTTGTCCCAGCCTTTAATTATTATCATTCTTTTATTTGGGCTTCAGGAAAAATGGTATTTACAGATTTGTTACAAGTTACCATCTTGAAGCACATTCCAGAAAACCTTATAATGTGACACTGAAATCTCAAATTATTTGTCCATTTCACTTTTTTTGGCTCTCGTGTCTGGACTGCGGAGTCAAGGACTTAATCTGTAGGTCTGGATCTTACTATTAAAATGGGACACAGTAACAGGGCAGCCAAAAATCCTTGGCCCCTCTGCCCTCTGAGGACTGCTCCTGTCCATGCTCTCCCATTCGCGCTCAAGCCTCTCCAGTCTGGCCTCCCGGGGCCTCGGTAGAGCCGCCGCCCGGTGATGCGAAGATAGGGTGAACGCCCACATCCGGGGCCAACAAGCCCCAGGGCCTTCGCTTTCCGTTCCCTGCGGGGCGCACCAGCCGCACGCCCACCCCACCCGCCTTCCGCCCCGGGCTCCGAGTTAGTGTAGCCGGGGCGTGACCCACGGTCACGTGGCTCGCCCGCCACGCCACGCCCACCCGCTTCCTGAACCGCGGGTCCTTGCAGCCTGTCTCGGTGTGCACGTGGCCTGCGTTCCTCCCCCGCCGCGCCCCGAACCCGCGCTGCAGCCATGGCCCCCGGCCAGCTCGGTGAGGCCCGTGCGCCCGACCCCTCGCCCCGGTCCCGCTGCCCGGCCCGGTGCGCAGGCAAGGCCCCGGACTGGGCCTTCCGACCGTGGGCGTCCGTGCGGCCTTGAGGCCCCCGGCGTCTCCTCCCCAGACGGGAGAAGTAGGGCCGCGGCCTGCAAGTAACGAGAAATGCCTTCTATTTCAGCCCTGTTCAGTGTGTCTGACAAAACTGGCCTCGTGGAATTTGCCAGAAGCCTCGCATCTCTTGGTCTGAGTCTAGTCGCTTCCGGAGGCACTGCAAAAGCTCTCCGGGACGCTGGCCTGGCAGTCAGGTAAGGCACCAGGTAGCTTTTAAGGTAAGTCGAGGCAGGAAGGAATGAATGGGTAATCCAGACACTAGGAGAAAACATACCTTCTGCTCCGCATAACACTGGGAGGCCGATAATACCCTCACTCTGGAGGAGGAAAGTGAGACTCAAAGATGCAGTAACTGCACAGTCGTAAATAAAGTAAGGGGTAGAGGTAGGGCTGGAGCCCAGGGAGTCCTGACTTAGAACCTAGTTCTCCGCCACTTTTTTAATTAACAAATTAACTTACACTGGCCATTTGTTATGCCCAACAAAACCAAAATTCTTATAGTTTACATTGGCCTTCTGGTTATTTGATGAAGCTGTCATGAAGATTCACATCTGCCTGAGTGTCCCCTAACCATTTACACAGGATCATTTGAGGAGGAAATCCTGAACTACTGGAAGCTAGAAAAGGAAAAGACCACAGGACAGCTGTAATAAGCCATAGAGTTCAGAGGGAGGATGGGCCCACCGCTGAGATATATTTCAAAATAAAAATAGTAAGACCCGCCTGCCTGTGTTGCTATGTGGAAGTGGACTTCTTGCCCTCCAGATGATCCTTGCAGGGATAGATTTTCCACTTACTAACTCCTGTCTGTGAGCAGTGTGTAGCTCTGATTTGACAAGTTCATGTGACAAGAATACCTTTACTTAACGTTTTATTCTTTTTGTGTCTTGTCTCATGGGCTCTTGTGAGGGGCAAAGTCAGAACTGGCTTTCAGTTGGGCCAGGTTGAGGTCTGTTGTTGTTATTGACCTTAAAGTTAAGGAAATTTCGTCTTTAACACCCCCCTCCAAAAAAAAAAAAAAAAAAAAAAACCCCACCATATTATGGAAACATTTCAGACTAATCAAAATTATGAAGTACATTGCGTTCTTATATTGAATATCAAGCAGTTTGTCAGTCTTATTTCTCTGTCACCCTGCAGCCCTTGCTTCCCCCATAATGGCAGTTCCTTTCTGTTTTGGGAGGACCTGTAGATTGAACCTAGTGCCTCACCCAGTGTTTCACCGGGCTGTATCCCCAGCTTTCTTTTTAATCAGTTACTTTATAGAAATGTTTTAAAATTAGAACCAAACCGTCTTCAAACTTGTGATCCTCCCACCTCAGCCTCCTTGATGGAGTGGGGATTACAGGTACACACCACCACGCCCAGCTTTGAATAGCTTTTAAAAATGTTTCCCTCCTATTAAAAAGAGTCTTCAGCCTAAATTGTGTATGTAGAGCCCAGCTCAATGAATGGAGTTCATGGATTGGAATGTAGACAAATCGGAGGTGTGTTCTGTTATTAATTCCTGGAATCATTTCAGCAGCAATTTTCAATTATTCCTATTGGATAGATAAGGAAACTGAGGCTCAGAAAAGTAACTTGTCCAGAATCTTACAGTGATTAAGAGGTTAAGCTTTCATCCTAGGAAGCTGACCATTGCTTTGTGCAGTCCACTGAGATTGTAGCTAATGAATGTACAACAGTGAGGTGATTGTTTAATGAAGCCTGCAAGCACTGCAAACAAATTCCAAGAGTAACAAGCTTTAAACATTTTTCATTACATTTTTATTTATCATGTGTAGGTGAGAGGACAGCTTGCAGAGCCCGGGATTGAACTGAGATTGTCAGACTTGACAGCAGGTGCCTTTACCAGCTGAGCCAGCTCATCAGCCCATTATTAAGGTTTTGTTTTTGTTTTTGAGACAGGCTCTCCCAGGAGCCCTAGCTGGTGGCCTGGAACTTGCTGTGTAGACCAGGCTGAGCTCCACCTGTCAGTCATGTACCACCATGCCTGGTTGAGTTCTCAGTTTTTGCTGGACTGGCTAACCTATAATCCCCCTGTTTCTGTTCCACCTAGCCATAGGGTTAGAAGCAGGTTGCCCTCCACTTGGCTTTACCGTGGGTGCTCAGCATCTAAACGGAAGTCCTCATGCTTGTATCCAACACTGTACCCACTGAGCCATCTTCCCAGCTCCAGTAGGAATTTTGAATTTGAAACTGCTGCATCTGTTGGTCTGTTGATGATACAGCTGTGTATGGTCTTGGTCCATTCCTTAATAGGAAATAGTCTGCTCAGGAAATTCAGTGTCCTGTTAGAATTTTCTGCTTTAATATGTTAATTGTTTTCTTATAATCAAGACTTAATTGTAGAAAATTTGAAAAATGTGGAAAGCTATAAAGATAGTAAAAATAATTTACCATTTTAAATGTTATAATATTGCAGTATTTTTTTTTATAAATACTTGTTTCATAGCTCACACAGACTCATAATTTTACTTCTTGCTTTTTTTTTTTTTTTCATCTTAATATCATGGGCTTTTTTCCACATTAAAATCTGAATTTTGCCAGAGCATGTTCATGAGTACTACTTTCTGGAGGCCAGCTTTATTATATGGACTAATTTATAACTATTGCCCTTCATGTAGCCTGTTTTCATATTTTGTGACGCTTCTGCAGTTAATTTTCCTATGTAAGAGGGTTTTTGGGGTTCTTTCTGTTTTATTTTTGAAATATATTGCCAATCTTTTTTTTTTTTTTAATGCTTGAAAAGCATTCCTCACATTTTATTTGTGTAGTTAATAAGGTTTTTTAAACTGCTTACACTTTTGAGGTATCGTGCATTTATTTTCACATGGAGTTAGCCAGTTATTCTAATACAGCATTACTTTAACAGTTTTTTGTTTTTGTTTTTGCCAGTTGGGCACAAAAAAAAAAAAATCTCATATACCCACACACAAAAAAAATCTCATATACCCACACATAGACACGCTATTCCAGACGGGCCTAGAAGGCCAGATCCTCCACCCTTAGGCAGGGACTGAGGTTACAGGTAGCACCAGCACACCCAGCAAAGAGCTTCTTCCATTAGTCCTGCCTGGTGCTGGGAATTGACCCCAGGCCCTCACACATCCTGGGCAAATGCTGTAGCATTGAGCCATATTTCCAGCCCTTATAAAATTCTTATTTCTTTGGTTGGTCTCTGAGTTAAAGTGTTTCGTTTTATTTTGTTTGTGCAGGGTCTTGTGCGTGAGAAACAAGCTCTCTACCACTGAGCTACACTTGCAGTCCAAAGACACTTTTTATGTTTTTTGTTACATTCTCTGTAAATGCTTTTTCAGTTCAGTTTATTTACCTTTTTAAGATTTATTTTTATTTTTTTAATTATGTGTATATGGGTGTGTTTGTATGTGTGTATGTGCATGTGTGTACAGGCATCCACAGACTCTAGAAGGTGGTGCCAGTCAGATCTTATGGAGCTACAGTTACTGCATGATGTGGTGCTGAGAACCCAGCTCTGGTTCTCTTCAAGACCGTTTAGTCTTAAATGCTAAGGCATTTCTCTGGCCTTGAATTTATTTCTTAGTAATTATTAGTATGGCTTATAACTCATTGCTCTGAAAATTTCCCTAAAGCCAGTTCTTTAATACTTAATTGATTCTCCTCCAAAACACATCAGTTAGAAAATGTGACTATTTTTTGTAAAATAGAATTTTACTTACGAAGTCTGGCATAGTGAAAATATTTAAAAATATTTTCTTTAACTGAGACTAATGGAGTTGGAGGGAGATGCTTTAGATAATGGAGAATAATCTTTAAAAGCAGAAGTAATATTTTTGTTATTCTGTTTTCAGAGATGTGTCTGAGCTTACGGGGTTTCCTGAAATGTTAGGGGGGCGTGTGAAAACCTTGCATCCTGCAGTCCACGCTGGTAAGTCTTGGATGTCTTCAGTTTAAAACAGTCTGGTTTTCAGGAATATATCAGTTAATGATTTCATAGGAAGAAGAAACAAGTCGTAAGCTCAAAAAGCTTTAAGACGACTTCGCGGGTGGCTCTGGTTTGGCATGTTTGCCCTCAGATTGCACAGTAGATGAGAGTCTGCTGAATGTGCTGCTTGCCTTGTTGCTTGAAAAGTTCAGATTGCTTTCCTCTGCCTGCTGTTTGTTCATCTTGGCCTAATAACTAGGTTAACTAATTTAGATCGTGATCATTTCTACCACATTGAAAATATTCTGATACTGTAAAATCAAAAATATTTGGTAATGCAAAGTGTAGACTTTAAAGGTAGTTAAAAGTGAGGACAAGCTACAGTGCGGCTGCCCTTCAGAGGAATCTGTTTTCAAAATCTTTTTCTTTTGTTCATCTGTCTGACACAGCAAACTATGGAAACAAAAATAGCAGTAAGTGTATTGCTGCCTTGCCAGCTGCAGTAAATTTTGACTGAATAAAGGTTGAAAGGCCAAGGATTATCATATAAGGTATTGGCTTATGGAAATATAAGTTAAAACCTGGCAAAACTTATGTAAAACTTCCTTTTACAGTTGCATAAGAAAAAGGATTTAGGTTTGATTTGGTTTTTGAGACAGAGTCTCACTCTAGCCTAGGCTAGCTTGGAACAGGTAGTCTAGTCTACCTGCCTTAGCCCCTTGAATGCTGGGATCACAGGAATGGGCTACTGTGTTTGGCCGGAAGTTTGTGTGTGTGTGTGTGTGTGCATACTTTTTAAAATATTTTTTTACTTAGTATCTTGCTGTGCATCCCATGTTGGCTTCCAGCTTCTGTCCTCCCACCTTAGCCTCCTGAGTACGTAAGAGTACAGGCCTGTGCCACTGAGTCTGACTAAAGAATTTTTTTTTTAGCAGTTAAACTTTTTATTTTACTTTTTAAATTTTTTATTTACTTTTTTTGTTTCACTTTTCTATAAAAGGCAGATGATGATTGTCGATCTGCCCTAAAGGGGGCAGAGTGGGAAGCTGGGGAAGATGGCAGAATGCTTTTGAAGGCATGAATGGGTGCTGCAGGGTGCCCAGCTCTTCCTCTTCCCTCGGCTGCTCCTAGCTCACGTCAGTGGTATTGAAGACCCACTCTGTGAACTTCTTCAGCTTGTCCAAGGTGTTCTGGGACTCCTCTTGCAGCCTCAGGTTGTCCTCACCCAAGTGCTGAGCTTCTGCCTGCAGATGGGCCTTGTCTTCTTCTTCCTTTATCAAATCTTCAAGAAGCATCGTCAGCATACCTTCCAACTGGACATTAATCTTAACTTTATGCTTCATAATTCTTCAACTGTGTGATGTGTTCTTTAAGAATTTTAAAGGTACTTGGAACATTTGCATGTGGCTATAATCCTAACACTTAGGAGGCTGAGGTGGGAAGATCACTTGAACCTAGTTTAAGACCAGCCTGGGCAGTATAGTGAGATCCTGTCTTAAAAAGAAAAAAGGGGAGCTGGAGAGATGGCTCAGCACTTAAGAACACTGGTTCTAATCCCAGCACCCATATGGCCGCTCACAACTGTTTGTAACTCCAGTTCAGGGGATCTGACAGCCTCTTCTGTCCTTTGAGAGCATTGTACAACACGGTGCACTTACCTACACGCAGGCAATACACGTATACACATAAAACAAAAATAGTAAGTAAAAAATACTAAATAAAGAAAAAGAGTAATAGTTTACCTTGATTGTTGGGACTTTACTGAAAGAACTACCTGAGTCTTTAGCCTTACTGTTTCCTTTAACTTTGTCAAATTAGGAATCTTGGCACGCAGTATTCCAGAAGATAATGCTGACATGGCCAGACTTGATTTCAGCCTTATAAGGTAAAAATTTGAAGCTGAATTTTGATCTCTTTAAGAGTCAAAGATATGAAGTGCTAAACCCAATGCCTTCTCCTTATGACGACAGTGATGATGTGCCCTCTATTGCACCTACCATGTGATGTTTTACATGTATGAGCATCTGAACTTTGCTAAATTTGTCTTTCCAAAATAATAACTTGAACAGAAACAATGTTTGCTTTTTCATGAGCATAGGCTATACATATACACACAAGAGTACTCTTGTGTGTGTGTAAAATTTTCTTTAGTTTCTTTCAAAATCATTCAGTACTTTTCATTATATAAGTCTTAACACTTTTAAATTTATTCAATATTTGATTCTCTTTGGTGCTGCATAAGTGCCATTGTTTTCTTAAATTCTTTGATTGTTCCTTGCTAATGTGTATTAATACAGCTGATATTTTTATATTTATCATATATCCTGAGGCTTTTCTAAATTCATATATTAGGGCTGATAGGTTTTCTTCTAAACCCTTGTATGGATTTTCTGTGTATAAGAAACATTGTGTTACTTCTTTCCAATCCTGATTCCTTTTATTTCCTTTTCTTCATTTCCCTGGCTGGAATATCCAGCAAAATGTCGAATAGAAGTGCAAAGAGTGAATATTCTTAGTCCTGAGTCTTTCCTCAGGAAGTAGGAAGTATGACATTAGGCTTTTCTTACACTTCATCATGTTGAGGTACTTTACAATTCTAAATTTGTTTAGGTGTTTTGTTTTAATCATGGATAGCTATTGAAATTTTTCACTTATTTTTGTGTTTTGAGATGATCGTGTGGCTTTTGTCTTCTATTAATATTACATTGATTAGTTTTAATTTTTTAAAACATTTCTATTTGTTGTATGTGTGTCCGGAGGATTATCTGTGCCATGGTGCTCATGTGGAGGTCAGAGGACAACCTTTGGAAGTCAGTTCACCCTCCACCACATGGGTCCCAGGATCATATTCAATCATCAGGCTTGGTGGCAAGCACCCTTACCTATTGATCCATCTTGCTGACCTATAACAAATTTTGAGATACTAAGCCAACCCCATCTTGGCTTAGTAGGAATTAAAACTTACTTAGCCGTGATGCACTGTATTTCTGTTTTTCTGGGTTTGACTTACAAGTTCCAGTTTCCATTAGAAGCACTAACCTAATAGTTTTCTGGTGGTGTATTTGCCTGGTTTGGGTGTTAAGACACTAGGCCTGATAGAACGAATTGAGAACACCCCTCCTCTTCTGTCTATGAGTGTTCACAAGTTAGACTCAGGACCCTGTCCACTGAGCACATGCTTCAGTCTTAGGATGAATAAAAAGGTTTTAAAGATTTCTTGTAACTGGGTGTGGTGGCAGAGGCCAGCTGGGGATCCAGGGAGACACTGTCTCACAAAACAAAAATAAAATTGTTATTTTAAATTATGTATGTGTCTGTGTTGGCAGTATGTGCACATGAATGCAGATGCCTGTGGATGCCAGAGGTATCAAATCCCTTGGAACTGGAGTTACCAGCAGTTGTAAGCCATTATATGGGTGCTAGGAGCCAAACTTGGGTCCTCTGCAAGAACAGCAAGTGTTTATTCTTTTGACCTTCAGGTTATTACCATTTTTACGACTTCTCTGAAGGCAGACCAAGTATTTTACCTTTAGAATCTTCATTATTTTCATCATTATAAGCCATCTGTTGGAAAAGTAATATAAATTTGAATGTCCTGGGTAATAACATCATAGTTTAAGTTGAAATTTTTCTATAATTTTATCATTTCCATTTCTATTTAAATGTTTTGTTTGTCTTGAGATGGGGTCTAACTGTAACCCAGGCTGACCTCAGAGTCTGGATCCTTTGTATGCCAGGATTATAAGTGTATACCACTACACCCAGTGAAAAAAATGTTTGAAATTGGGGGTTTGTACTAATAGGCGCTAAGATTACCCAAGCAGCAACCTTGCCAGGATGGTTTGGGAATGATGTGACTGCATCCAGGGCACCTGCTGAATTCTGTGCACTGCAAGTATAGAGCTCCAGACTTTCTTACATAACTTGTAAGAATTTCAAAATGTCAGGTTCACAGTTTACACTTTAGTACCTTAGGGGTTTAAGTCACGTTTATAGTACTGACTAAGTAGCTATAAAGCACAGAGGTTGAGATTTTTAATACTGGCTAAACTCCTTGGTTGCAGAGTCGTTGCCTGTAACCTGTATCCTTTTGTGAACACCGTGGCTTCTCCGGATGTAACTGTTGAGGCAGCTGTTGAGCAAATCGACATTGGTAAGTCAGAAAAGCCATTTTGAAGACTGACAAGGACGGAGATTGTTATTATTATTATTTTTATTTTCTGTTTTTGAAGAGATGTGTTTTGTAGGTCTTTGAGACTTATCACACAGCCTGAACTGGCCTTGAACTCCATTTGTACTTCATGCTGTCCTCAAACGTGGGATCCTCCTGCCTCAGTCTCCTAAGTGCAGGAATTTCAGGTGTATGCCACTATATCCAGCTTAGGAAATATTTTATAAGTCGTGTGTGTACGTACTTCATATGTATTATTTTTTTCCTTTTTAAGTCAAGAATGAACATGGAATTATGTGCACAGTGACTTCTATTTGAATGAGAGAGGCTCATCAACTGATAGGAAAATACCAAAAAAAAAGTCTTTTCTCCTTTGAAGGTGGAGTGACCTTGCTGAGAGCTGCAGCCAAAAACCACGCTCGAGTCACAGTTGTGTGCGAACCAGAGGACTACGTGGCCGTGTCCACAGAGATGCAGAGCTCTGACAGCAAGGACACCTCCTTGGAGACCAGGCGTCACTTAGCCTTGAAGGTGGGATGCACTTCTAATGCTAACATAATGTCCATCCACTGCCTGTGTCAGTCCATGCAGTGTTCAGTTCTGATTATATTAGCTGTCCTCAGTCTGCTTAGAGCTGCTAGCTTTTTGTTACTCATGGAGAGATCAGATATTAGCAATATTCTGTCATGTTTTCAAAGGCAAAGGAAATTGTTACACCATTCTTGTTCATTGGTATCTTTGTGTATTTGTTTGTTGGGGAGGGATGCATGGCTGAGGCATGTAGTTAGTTAGATATCTAAAAGCATCTTTGGGAAGTGCTGCTAAGATCTCATAAAACCTAATTTTTTGTAGGCATTTACTCATACTGCACAATATGATGAAGCAATTTCAGATTACTTCAGGAAACAGTACAGTAAAGGAATCTCTCAGATGCCCTTGAGGTATGGAATGAACCCTCATCAGACTCCTGCCCAGCTGTACACGCTGAAGCCCAAACTCCCCATCACAGGTAGAGCCTGAGGAGTGTGTGTGTCTGGGTACTTGGCTGTCTCTGTATTGTATCTGAAGTACACATTCAGAAGATAAAGTAAGTTAGGTAATACCTCATAACCATCCCAAATCAAGATGCTATTTGGACTTGTGGGTACAAATGTCGGGTTGAGCAGCATCGTGCCCTGCCTGACAAACCACAGAGGTCATGTTAGAGACACAGACTGGAAAGTTTCCAGCATAAAAATGATTTCGATGACATGAGAGAGGGTGGAATGGCTTAGATTTCTCAGAAGAGGATGCGGACCAAACCTCCAGGTGCTTCTGATTCATAGGTAAAGCAGTGGACGAACATGCTGAGGAAAACCTGTGAATTTCAGTGGGTTGAGGACAGCTGTTTCCTTGGAATAGAAATGTGAAGTCCAGTAACAGTGAAGGGCCAAAGCGTACTTGCTGTACAAGCCTGGTGACCTTAGTTCAATCCCTGGGACCCATGTAAAAGTGAAAGGAGGGAATTGACCCTACAGAGTTGTTTTGTGACTCTACATATGACCACCACCCCCCCCCACACACACACACACACTAATAAATGAATGACAGAGAATTAGGACTGTGGATTTGTAGAGTTAATAGAAAGGGATTTTTAAATGTTTTACTTCTTGTTGTTCCTCTGAGAGGAGGAAGAGTGGGAAGGGCAGAGCAGAGCTCCAGGCATGGAGTCCTGGAGGCCATGCACTAATGAGGCTCAGCCCTGGCTCAGAGGCAGGACAGCTTCCCTCCCAAAGGTAGGCCCAGAACACAGGCCAGCACTTTTGCTGTTGGGAAGACGCAGTCCTTGTTGGCTTCTCCTTGTCAGCAGCCTGGGGAGAGAAGGACGGAGCCAAGTAGAAGGTTTGAGAATTTCTAATGCTCACTCTTACCCCTTCCATCCAGGGAGCTGACATTCTGTTGCTGCTGTGCTGCTTGTACATTTGTACCTGCTAATACCCCAGTCTCACAGTCACCCTGGAACACTGAATGTACTAATCTCTCTACTATCTCTCTAGTCCCTTTCTTCCTATACAATAGTCTTCAAACACCCAGATGTGTCGGATGAGAGTACCCTACTTCAGACCCTTCATTGGCCTTCCGTCCTCCCTGAAGTGCTTCACCTGGCCCTGCAGTTGCCATGCTCTCTGACCCAGATCTGCTGCCTGGTGCCGCCTCCCCTTAGCTGTTCCTAGTTCAGCCCAGCCTCTACTCCAGGGCCTTTGCACTGACTGATCGTTTTGCAGACTTCCCTTCCTGGGCTGGTTGCTGTCCTTCAGATCTCAGCTCTTTGGCTCAAAGTGGCTGCTCATCCTTGTCAGCTCACCCAGTTTTGGTGTGCACGTTTGTTTTAGTTCCTCCTCCTATTTGGATGACAACTCTTGAAGCAGAAGCCTTGTCTCTGTTCCCAGCACTTAAAATATTGCTCAGCATGTTCTTTAAGTATGTATTGAATGAGTTAAATACTTAGGACCTGGCATTTTACACAAAGTTTTGCTTCTAAAGCTTAATAAAATAGATCTATTCCATCTTATATTACTTCCTTGTAATTTAAAATCTTCTTTTAGATTCTGAGGCAAAAAGTATTTTCAAATACATTCTACTTTCAAAAGAGTTTTCAGGCCAGGCATGGTGGATCTCACCATTAATCCCAGCAACTCAGGAGGCAGAAGCAGGTCGATCTCTCAATTTGCTGCATAGTGAGACCCTGTGTCAAAACAAAGACTTCAGGATTAGGGTGTAGCTTAGTGGTAAAACATTGCTTACCTCTGTGAGACCCTCCGTTCTATTGTCAGCACAGAAACACTGATTTTCATTTGTGCTATGTAAGTCTTAATTCATTGTTCCATGTGTATGTGTATGTGTGTATGAGTGCTACTTCTGAAACTTAAAAGTGTTATTTGTAGTAACAGCAGAGGAGGTCCTGGGCATACAAATAGCAGTTTCTTGCAAGAAGTTCACAGGATTTCTCCCAAACACACTTTTACAACAGAAGAGACATTTTGCCTTTTCGTATAGTTTAAATATTTGGCAGTGATATAATTACAAGGTACATGGCTAGAACAAAATTGAACCAAAGAATAAAGATGAATAGTCTCTATAGTATTTATAGTGATATTTATTTATGTACTTATTTATTTTGAGGCATGGTCTCATTATGTAGTCCTGGCTGGCCTGGAACTTAACTATGTAAAAGACCAGGCTGGCCTCAAACTTGGGGCAGTGGTCTGCCTCTGGAGGCCCGAGTGATGGGCATTTATAGACATGTAGTACCACGCCTGGCTTCAGGGTGTGTGATTGTAAAGCCTGGTTTCTTACTGCTGGAGATAAGATGATTCCTGTTTGTTTCAGCTATTTAATGGATTAAGCAACTTGAAATATTTCACTGTAGTACTGTCTGTATGTCTAACCTGTCATTAGTGACTGTGGAAATTTGATAGTTGAAGGGGAGCTAGTATTCTGTGAAGTGTTTGAAAAGCCCTGCCCCACTCATTGCCATTTGCTAAGTGCTGAGGAAGCCGTGCACATGGATTCTTTTGTATTTTGCTTATTGTATGTTTTGCAAGGTATTTCACTTTTGCAATTTCCTGATTATTAATAAGCCTGGCTTGTTTCTTCTGTGCCTGTCATCTAAGTTGCATGAAGACCATGACTTTTTTTTTTCTTTTTGTTAGAGAACCTTTATAAAAGTCATTTAAGTAATTTTTTGAACAATTTTAGGTTTACAGATAAAATGCACAGAGATTAGAAAATTCCTGTATACCTCCTCACACACTTCAATTCCATGACCTGAGGAATAAGTTACTTTTTAAAAATTTGTTTTTATTGAATTTTTATGTATGTCATACAGAGTATCTTCTCAGACAAAATCATCTTTATAACCCCCATCGCCACTGGCATCCTCCCAACCCCCCCCCCCACTGGAACCCATATACTCTGTCATCCATGTTAAGGTCCACTGTGTCAAGTTAGTGTCCCCAGACATTCCCCAGTGCAGGTCCATACACTGAGGTCTAGTCAGCCTCTCAAGAGTCTCTTGTTTTAGAAAAATCAGCTCTTCTTTACCTACAAGCAATCAGTTGCCAATATTTTTTTCAGATAAGATTGGGGTCTGCTTTTCATTTCTCCCAGTTCTATGCTGGGTTTTTGTCTACATGAGTTTGCATGGGACTTGTGTATGCTGACACCATTGCCATAGAATCATATGAGCACGGTCCCAGGAGCTTGTAGGACTCTTGTTTCCATATGGTCATGCACCTCCTCCCTGGCTCTTACAGTCTTTCCACCCCCTCTTCCACGATGGTCCCTGAGCCATGGGTGAGTGAAATTTAATATGAGTCCTGTCCAAGGACTGGCAATCATCAGACTCTTGATCTCTATTCTTTGGCCATTTGTGACCTTTTGCGTTCCTGGCCCTCCACTGCATGAGGGAGCTTCATTAATGAGAACTGAGACTCATTAGTGTCCACTTCTTTACCCCTGTTCTATGTTCCATGAGCATTAGGTGTAGAGGTTGCATTGTAGATGTGCCACCTAGGCTTGGGTAATTCACAGACAACATCTGTGTGTGACCAGTTGTGGTACTCTGTAATAGTCTCTGGTGCAAAAGAAGCTTCTTTGATGAGTGGTGACTGGGACATTTGTAAATATAAGGATACATATTTTGCATATAGTAAGAAATTACATTAGTCTAGGGATATGACAGTCTTGGGATTTTCTCTAACATCTATGACCTTTCCAGTCATGTGTATTTGGCTATGTTTACAGTACCACACAAGTTTCCTCCCATTGAGTTCACTGGTACATGGGTGTTTTTTGTTTTTTTTGTTTTTTGTCTTTTTGAGACAGGGTCTCCCTGTAGCCCCAGCTGTCCTGGAACTCACTATGTAGACCA